AAGATGGTAGCAATGCGTAGCATGGGGTAGCATGGGTCGTATGGTATATACAAGAGAGGAGCTAGATATAATATATTTCGCCGAAAGCAAATGGAGCCTCTACCAATCGAAGAGAAGAATTGACCACGTAGGGAGGAAATGAACGGCGCGAAGTTCCGTCATCTAGACACTGAAATTGATAGCGTCAGAGTTTACAACGAATGAACTAGATGTCGCGTAAGTAGTCTAGCGTCGTCTGCAAAGTTACATTAACCCTCTGCTGGACCCTTTTCTACCTCCTGTCGTCCACGCGCATTTCCGTTGTCATTTCTCGGACTTATTTCCGTAGAGAGTAGAGAGTTGTGATGTATGTGCATGCTCTCATCTCGATTTAAGAGCGATGCAGGCCTGAGGAGACGAGACGAATATCGTTCTGCAGACGCCAGAAGACGTCTGCTCTACGCGCGCTAATGACGGTCGCTTGTTTCACCCATCGATAAAGCCTCTTCCTCTAATCAGCATGAGTCCCGAGCTGCCCCGGGTGACTAAAGTTTTATTTTATTTTCTAAAATAAAATTATCATCAGTTTAAAATATGAAAATGTAGAAAAACCTCGACCTCTCGTAATTCGGCACTGAGTTACTATTGATGCTGGGAATAGACTTGTGGCAGAGCTGGCTGCGACGTGAGTATAGAAGCTCCCTGGTCGTAAACATGGCGGCTCTGTGATCATTGTTTGTGTTGCGAATTGCGGGTTCTTCAGCGTTAGAGGGTTCAGTTCATCGGGAATGGGTAGCGTACTTTGGAGCTCCTTGTACGCCTTCTGTCCTCGCTGAATAGGGTAATTCAGAACATAAAAAGTATACTCTGCCGGCTGGCTAGCGTGGGCGAAGCTTATACTAAGTCTACGTTGTTTGATGAAAGGTTATTGGCATACATAAGCTAGTTTAGGGCTACGACGATATGGTAGGCTTGATAAGTCAATGTGAGTATGACTATAGGGCCTAGTTACTCGAACAATGGAACAATGTGGAACAATGCATTACCTATTCTTAGTTTCCTGAACTACATTAGTTGGCCTAGCGTTAGGGCTATGCCAATTTGTTCGTGGGGATTGCGCTAATTTTCCTACATTATGCTTTGAGAATAACACACAAGTGACGTTGGCTTCTGAGATATTATCAGAGAACTTTAGTATCGATCTGGTAGCAGTATGACATGCCTCACATACACAGTTGAAAGATACATCTAGTTTTCACTATAATATCAATGCCTATGTATGCCTAGCCATACAGCTTTTACCATGCATTGATGTTGGCATTAGATCAGAAGAAAGTATTAGGCTCAAACACCTATTGGTACACTATTTGATCTAAAGTTCCTTAATATCTGCAGCATACACATTATGTGTAAACTCATGTCTTGTCATATAGTGCCACCTAATATATAGGTAACATGGTGTACCTTTGTGTTGGTGTACTTGTAGCCAGTTTCTCAAGCAGTGGCCCTTCTACATGCATCCACTCTTTTGAAAAAGTTTATGAATCTTCTAGCACTGGTTAACATTTTAGCATGGCTCTCTTGAGAAGGCTCCACACGGCTCCACAGCTCCGGAGGCTGAGTGATCTTAGGGAAGGAGTTAATTTTAAAATCCTCCTGAAACTCAGTTGAAGAATACAGGACTAAGTATAGGCTTCCTTAACCTTAGAACAACTCAGAGACAATACACAAAAGTAGCTTTGGGTTAAAGGAGTGAACTATATTGGACCACCAGCTGAATTGTCCAATAGGTTTATTGCATGAAAGTGCTTCATGAATAGAATATAGCAATGTAAGTTTCAGCTAAGAGAGTTGAAGTATGAATGAGGAATGTCAATGTACACACAAGCATTGCTATGTCACACAGTGGTGCCACTGCCTTTTTTAATGCTTCTGATACATATTCGCTGTTCCATATTTTCTTGCACTTATCCTGCCTACTATTTTTCCTCATTTAAGCAAGACATGTCACGGTAGCACATTTTGTGGAGTTTTGCTTATTTTCTGTCTGATGTCAATGGCCAAAGAACAAGAAAGTCAGCCTCCTTGAGGGAATGATGGATCAGTTGGACTTAGAGAAAGGTTACAGACAAGACTGGTTATTTTCTAACTCAATTGACCCATCATTATCCAAAGTAGGTTGGCTTTTCCACTCTTGACTCAAACACCCAATTAATGTAGCTCACTTGGTCCGTGCTAAGTACTTATCTAAGGTTATTTGGTAAGGGTTTAGTGTAAATCCAAAGAGCTATGTGTTTAGGAGTCCAGGGGCTGTGGTGACAATATATTCTAACAAAACATACTCTGACCTCCATTCAACATCTTGTGCACACCCCCAGAGCCCCATGCACACAGTGTTCACACGCTTAGTATCTGTTGCACACACTAAGGCAAACATGTCCCTACGATAATGGGTTGTCAAAGCCTGCCATGGCATACGAAGGAGTTGTTTCAAGTTTGAAATGTAAAAACTTAATATAAGAAAGTCATGAAGTGGGATGGCTTCGATTTAGTTGAAGGTGTTTTATGCATGCAATTGTTATGTAAAGAGTGGGGGGGCATCATAATCATCCGCATCCTGACAAAATTTTGGGGCCATCTTCATTACCAGCACAAAATGCTTATCAGGCAGAGGTCAGGCAGGTGCAAGATGCACTCTAGAATTGTAGGAGAGGACAAGTTTGCATGGTGTTCATAGGTGGGTGCAAGACAATGCCCCATGTAACATAGCTACCCCATCTCCTTTGTTATTCATCAAGTAAATGGGAATTGACTGTGCATGCCACTTTGTGCCTGTGTAACCTTCAATCCTTGAATATCAATGTTAAAATTACGGCCTCATTTATTAACTTTAACAGCTAAAATGTACACCAATACAGTCTAGTCATTGGGGGTTTGTGATTGATGATGATGATCTCATTTGCAATTCTGCTAGTGGTCCACTGTTTTACTCCTTGGATGTATTTCTGTACTTGGGCATTTCTGGCCATTAGGTCAGAGTGAGACTTTGAATTAAAACATGGTTTTATGTTGAAACATTGTTGCTGTACACGCAGTGTCAGTATTTCTCTAATGGGGCTTTTTTGACCTGTTGAATGTTTTTTTGGGAAATGCAGAGAAAGTAAACTAAAGTTCTGTCATGTCAGTAGTCCCCATTTAAGTTTTGAAGCAATTATAATTTTTCGATCCAAGTAAGAAGGGTTTGATGGTTAGTTTAACTTGCCATAGTTACACAACTAGCTGCTGCCATTAAATAGGCATAAATGTGTCATTAAAATCTAGGTAGTGTAGCAGAAGATCTTTGGGACATTTGACACTCATCAAGAGGTTTAGGGAATTAAGTAATGACAATGGCATTGGTCTACTTCTTCTCTGCTGCCTTATCAGTTGATTTGATAAGATTTTGTGACATCTATTTACAGGAACTATATAGGGCTGAAGGGGGCATGGATCCCCTAGGGATATTGTGCTGTCCCAAAAGTTAAGCCAGGTTAGGTTAGTGTGTATCATAAAAGGAATCCCAATGGATGGTGCATGTTTTTAGTTGAATGTCATCTACAATCATTAGAGAATGGTGGAGTGCAATTTCTCTAGGAAGTACATGCATAACCATTACTGGCTCAGGGTTCAAATCAGTACAAAAGAAGGATCCTCTCTGTTATAGATCAATGGTTTTCAGCAATGATCTCTCCAATTTGTAGATCCACTTGAACCTGTCAAGTTCCTTCTTTTCAAATTTAGGCACACTGGTTGGAATGTTATGGAAAATAAATATTTATTAATGAAACTGGCATAAGGGCATCAGAGTGCAGCATATACTCTTTTGTGCTTTGTTGACTCCCCTCCAGCTTTCCCCATGAATGCCCATGTGCTGTGTCATGCACTTGGTGTGACTATACCCTAAAAGAACCCTATATTTCATTCCTGAGAGGCAGAGGGTAGAAGAAAGAGCATCTTATGGTTTATCATCTTAAAAGGGATGTGGAAGAGTTTTTATTGGTGCTTTGGCTTATGGTAGGAATCCATTCATCCACACAGAAATCTTTGCTTTTATGAAGAACTTGCCAAGGAAGGAGAATTATCAGAATTTACTTACCATTAAGCACTGGATCAAATCATCTGGTAAGACAGGTATTTTCCATGTTATAGTTTGAATGCTATATTTGCTCTGTTCCCTTTTTTTAAAATTTGGGATAGGTGCACATTGATCTTGGGAAAATGGTTGTTGCTGAAATTTCAGTGTTGTTACACTTCCATTTGGCAACACAACATGCATGAGATTCCCTGTGCTCCCCTGAAACATGTAGGAGGCCTTCCCTAATCTAGCTAGCATGGCTAATTTTAAATGTTTTGTATTAAGACTGTGAGTGACAACCATTTATGAAAGATGTACTGATATATTTCAGGAACATGCATACCCCATGGCAGAGATGACACAATTCCTTGAAGTACAGAGCCTGGGGAGATTCATATGATGACTAATTTGCCACTTTCTTAGTGCAAGTTTACTTTAATAATATTGTTGACATGGAGGAATTCAATGCCACCATTGATCCTGGTGAAAGGGTCATCCAGAAAAGAGACAAAGAAGATCTGGATACATCGGGTGACTTTGTTGATCTCCAGCCTCTTGCTATTGATGGAGTCAGCACCGACTATGTTGATTTCAATATGAACAATGTTGATGAGCTCCTTCATCGGACAGAAGCCCTGGAGAAGGAGAGTGCCCATGATCCTGACAACTACCTCATTCCTGGATATGATTTCAAGGAAGATTCTAAAGATAGAAATGGGGAAAGACCAAGTGATATGCCCATAGTGCAAGAAAATTCCCATGAGGACATACCATCCATTTTCCCAAAGTCAACTGAAGGGTGCCAGACATCAACAATCTCAAGTACTTTAAATGGTTCTACAAGTGAGCCACTGGTGTCTGAAGCAGGTGTCAGTGGAGTTACAGAAGTCCCTGCACTCAGTGATGGTGGAGATTCCATCAAATCAATGGATCCCCAAGATGTGAATAATTCTGAAATAGATCTACTTCCAGAGTCACCTCGAACGAGTCAAGAAACATCCCAAGAAACAAATCAAGTTGCAACTGTGAATCACAATCCTGATTTTCAGAATGGAGATTCATCTTCAAGAAAGCACAGACCAACATCTCGCATCTTCCTTCCCAAAAAGGCAGAGGAAGAAAACAATGAAACTGCTTCTGAACTGGCAGAGGATCCCAATAAGATGAGGAGGAAGAGAAGTGTGGTATCATATCGTGATATGATCCAAGGTGGGCTTTATCCTACCAAGTCCCACTTAGCTCCTGTTGCAGTATCAAAAGCAAGGAAGAGTGAGGAACAGCCACAGAAAAGACGTAATTCACAGTTCACTCGTGGAAATAGAGAATTCCCCAACCGTAAAAGCTTTGAGAAATTTTCTAGTCTTTCAAAGCAGACTTCTGCACATTTGAAGCCTAAGGCATGTGACACAGATGATGGCATGAATGACAGTCAGCATCCCCCTTCCCATCAGTCTAAATTGAGTATGGATATCAATCAAGCTAGCACCCCTGGCTTTATTCCAAACTGCTCATCAGGACTATCTGATCAAGTTACTGATAGTCCAACTCCCATTCCAAAGGTTGAGCCCAATGTGGAAGATGTAGGAAATGCATCTGATCACCGCAAGCAAGTCCAAGTACCTAAAGACTTCAAGATTGAGGTCCAAGAGGATCTTGTAGTGCAGCCAGCTTCTCAGCCTATGACTCGCTTGCAAAGAAAAGTTAGTTTGCCTGCAAAAACTGAGGATCTCATCAACACTACCAGAACTGTTCCTGGTACACGGCTCATACGTGGAGCATCTGGGAAGCTGCGATTGAGTTGTAAACGTGAGAGGCGCCTACATCCAAATGCCATAACTGGCATCTTAAGGGAGCCAGGGCTACCTCGAGCTCTTGTTAAAATAGATGCAGCTCTTGAGGGAGCTGAGGTTGCTTCTAAGTGTGCCACAAAGGAAATTCAAGCCTCAGTTGGAACATCTATGCGTAAATCTAATAGAGATAGGCGACAAAAGTCATTCTCATCCATTGAACCCAATGTGCGAAGTGAAAAAGATAAAATTAGCAAGGCTACACGTGAAGAAGCAGAACGGAAAGAGCCATCAGGATCAGTTCTTAGACGGACTCTAAAGGTGGGACATGTTCAAAAAGATAAATCTGATTCTGCACGTGATTCTGAAGGAGCTGATCAAGGGGTTGCAGACCATGGGAACTCTGGTGACATCAATGAGGGGAAAATCATTAGACGCATACCAAGATTCAGACCACCTAGACAGAAGAACCTTCAAAAAGTCAGCACTGCTCAGATCTCAGAGGCTTCAACCAACCATGATGATGAGAAATCCAGGCCTCCCTTGGAGGGGTTTCCATCCACTTCCAAGAGTCGTCCATGCCCCATATGTTTCTTCATGTTTGAGAGTGAAGAGAAACTCTCTCAGCATAAGGAAAAAGTGCACCCAGAAGCTGTGTCTGATGCAGATGATGACGAGGATGTATCTGATGAGGTGGAAGTCATGTCAGTTGATATAGAAGATGTGATAGAAGGTCAGGACTTGACACTTGAAGATAACATCTCAGAGGCAGATCTTGATAAATCATTTGATTTTGACCTCCCACCTGATGATGTCTCAGATGCAGGCCTTGATCATTCTACTGACTTGCTGTCACAAGATGGGATCTCAGGATTGGACCTTGATCATTCTGACCTACCACCTCAAGAAAACATCTCTGAGTCAAACCTTGATCAGTCAAAGGATTCCATGGTTAGCACCACCCCTTCTAGGAGTAGAATGGAATCAGATGTTGAAAAGTCAAGGCAAGTTAGAAAACCTCATGCTGATATGAAGATAAAAAGGAGAAATTTGTCTTCTTTTGGTGACAATGAATCATCAAAGCAAGATGCAGATTTTATGGACACAGATGAAGTGGAAAGGGGGGATGCTTTATTGGGAAGCCCAAGGACACGAAGAGCCTGGAAACCATCCATGAAATTCCAAGAGTGTCTTCAGACTGGTGAATACTTCAAAGCAGAGCTGAAGGCACGACAGAGCAAGAAGGCATCTGACAAGGAAGACGAGTCTGAACCTGAGGACACTGCAAATGTTGATCAAAAGAAGAAAGACCAAGACTACAAACCATCAGCTCCTGCAAGTGTCAAATCCAGCCCAGCTAAGAGGAAGGTATCAGAAAGCCCACCCCAGCCCCAGTCTGTGAGAATGGCATCCCAGAAGGTGCCTCGAGTTGGTATGTGGGAAAGCTTATCCTCAGTGCCTCCTTAACAATTCTGTCTCATGTGGTATAACAACTCAGATTATTTTGTCACAGTGGATTCATCAATAAGTGGAGCAAGACCTGGGAAGATTGAATGTGGTGTTTGCCGGTCAGTGAAGTTCTACAGTCACATCTTGCAGGCCCGCAAATGGGGAGTATATGCCTGTGAGCCTTGTCGAAAGTTCATAACCAGAAGCATTGCTCATGGACCCACTCGTGAATTCAAGTGTGCAGATCACCCAGGTATTCTCAAATTCTCTGTATACATTTTATGGCTGGTTTTGGATGGTTCTGCATTGGAAATAAATGGAATCTCTTCTTGTGTTCAGAGCGGTGTGGTCTGCAGATTCCTCCCCGTTGCCCGGCTTGTTGGGCATTCCGATGCATCCAGCGATGTCCACAAATCCAGCCCCACTTGGAAAAGGCCGTTCTTCAAAAGCTCCCAGATAAACATCGTCAAATGTTTCGGGAAGAAGGGAAGGAAAGACGATTCTTTGGGGATTGTACACCTGCCACACTGGAGGAAGTGCATAAGCACAATTACAACAGCATCATTGGGACAGGTCTTGCTGCAAAGAAGACAAAGACAAGGGCTCCTGCAGAGTGTCACTTTGAGCAAGATGATGACAACAGTGAGACAGGTAGACGTAGTCAAGGTTCTGATTTTGATGCAGGTGGTCAAGGACGCAGAAGTAGAGGTGAGTTGGAAGGAATCATCTTCCTTTTTTTATCACTCACTTTAGTGTCCCTCTTAGAAAGTGTTTCCTCTATTATAAAAACTGTTTTTTGTTGCATTTGTTTCAGTTCCAAGGGTGTATGAGAATGATGACATCAGTGAAGCTGGAAACAAGAAATTGAAAGTGGTGGTTGGAGGAAGGATGAAGCATTCTCAACATGTAGCTGCCGATGCACTCAGGAAACGTGCAGCCAAATTCAAAAGAGGTCCAAATGCTCCAGGGAACGGGAGAAGGCAACGGACTCCTCTCAAGTTGAAGAATGAGGTGGCCGTAAAGAGGAGGAAAGGTCCACTGATCAAAACCATTGCAAGTCAGAAGATAAGGAAGAATGGGGAGGTCCTTGATGCATCTGGAGAGCCCCCTATCAGGAATGGGAAAGGAAAGCGACCTGGAAATTTCCGTGGTCCTCGGGTGAAGCACGTTTGTCGGACGGCCTCCATGGTCTTCCGCTATCCCTTAGCTGTGAAAGAGGAGGATGAGTTGACTGCCCTGGACCAACAGGGCCAAGGTGAAGAGGGTCTGAGTCATTTTTTAGAGGATGTGTCTGAATCCTTCCAAGACATCGGTATGGAGCATTCAGAGCTGGAGGACCCAGTGAAGATGCTAGAAGCTGTTGGACCTGATCCAAGATCGTCTCTGGAGTCTGAATTGGCCGAATCGGCATCAGCTCTTGCAGAAATCTTGGGAGAGGATGAGGAAGACATGAGCCTCAAACGAAACAAGAAAAAAAGTAACCAGAAGACCTCAAACAAATCACGTAGCAATCAGTGCCCTTATTGCCTCAAAGTAATCAAGAGATCAGGCTTCATGCAGAAACATATTCTAGCTTATCACACAAAGCCTAAATGTAGGGAATCTCAGGAAGAAAGTAAAGAAGTTCCACCTAGTGGGGAGACAGACTTGTCAAGTGCAAGTAATGCAAAGGAAGAAGAGAAGGAAGGCAAATTTGGGAAAATGGAGGTTAGTTTCATCTCTACATTCAGTTTGTACAGCATTTGTTGATGAAATAATAATAATCTTAAGGTAAATTATCATACTTTTCCCCAGACCACGGTCGACCTTCCTGCCAAAAAGGGCCAGGTGGAAAAGAAGCATTTGAAGAGAAAGAAGGCACAGGTTGATCCTGCATTTTCCATCAGCATTGATTATCATGAGGCTTACCGAGTTGAAGATGTTGCCAAGCAGGGCTTTGCTGTGATCTCAGCTTGTCATCTGGATGTGGACATCATGTGTTACATGTGTGGGAGTGCAGGATACTATGAGGTGATGATGCTTTTCTATCTCTAATCTTCCAAGTGTGTAAATGAAAATTGTTCATCAGGTTTGCAGACTATACTCCTGACTATCTGGCTTGCATCAGGGTATCCACACTTTCTCATTGCAATGCATCAAGACAATCAATTTGGCATAAGTCCTTGACCATGATTCTAATTCCCTAATATCTTTTATTGTTAGCTGAACCTGACATTATTATTCAGACTTATATCAAAAGATATTGGCTGTCTATTGTGGGTGGGACATTTTCTATGGACCATGCCACACGTGTAAGGAAGAAATGGAGCCAATGCTACAAAGCCTTTTATTGAAAAATCAACATATATATGCCAAAAATAAAAACATGGTTCAAGAGGATTTTTGGCTTTTATTAGCTTGATGAACATCTTCCTAACAAAGAGAGTATGATTCAAGGATTGCTCTGAAAAGGTCTGTATCATGTTCAAGTTTATATCGAACTTTGTGGTTATGATAACAACACTATTGAGACTGCATGAAACTATCACATGTCATGTGAGTGTGGTTCTCCATGAGCTAGATCATGATAGCAGGTAACAGATTCATACCCTTCTGGATTATCCTGCTCTTCAAGGCAATAGAAGACAATAGACTATAAATAATATCATTGTTTTCTCATTTGAATGCTGATTTCTTGTTGAGGAAAGGGTTTCAACATCTTCCATTTCTTTTCGACAGGAGTGGATACATTTCACCCAATGGTGGCTGGTAATATGCAGCAGTAGTGGTTTGTCAGTGGAGACAGGAGGCCAGCCTCCCCTGTCTTCATTTAAGAACTACTACTGTTGCATATTACCAGCCACCATTGATTTCATCCCACCTGTAGAAACATCTTTCTTTTCATGTGCCAGGAAATGCTAGATAATAAAGTTAAATGTAAAATCAAATGGAGAAGGTTTGGATGATAGGTAAGGGATAGTAAATTCAGAGTATGTCAAATTGCATGTAACTTCTGGTTTCAACTTACAGAGCTTTACATTTACCTTCATCCTGATATTACCTTCTTTTCCAGTTCCTTTTCTGCTCAGTATGCTGTGAACCATTCCATCCCTTCTGTGCCACACCACCTCCAAATGAAGATGAAGTGGAGCAGAACTGGGTTTGTTCCCGCTGCCTAACATGCCACACATGCGGACTTGTGTCCCCTGATCGTACATGCTCCAGCTGCCATAAGCATTATCATACAGCTTGCCTCAGGGAGCATTCTGGAGATGCCGAAGGCAAGGATTCCAAGAAACTTCCCAAATGGGTGAGTCATCTGAAAGCATTATATAATGTCTGAATGTCTAAGTAATGTCACCCTGTGTCTTGCATCTCAGTTTATTTCCATATACCAAGGCAAAACTTTTTATTGTTTTATAGAGATGTCCAGCTTGCATCAAGTGCAGCAGCTGTGGCTCCTTGTCCATCTATGAGTGTGTGCGAAGCAACCGATACTTATGTTCAAACTGCTACAGGAACTTCATGGAAGGAAACTTTTGCCCTCTTTGCATTGCTACATACAGTGTCTCAGAGTATGAAAGCAAGGTAAAGTGAAGTTTTATAATCAACCAGGCAAAGAAACTGTTTTTGGATTACTTTATAATTTTTTCCTTTCTTACTTCAGATGATGGAATGTTCGAAGTGTTGCAGTTGGGTCCATGCCAAATGTGAAGGGCTATCAGATGAATCTTATCAAATCCTCAGCTTTCTGCCAGACAGTGTTGAGTATATTTGCAGTGTGTGCTACCCACTCATGAATGAAGGACTGAATGAGGAATTTCTTGAGCCCCCATTATGGAAGTCAGCCATTGAGGAGAAACTCTATGTAGGTCTCACTGAAATCCTCCATAAGGCCATCAAGTGGAAAGATGACATGGAAGTTGCTCGGCTGAAGAAGAAGGAAGATGAAGATGCTCTTGCTGGCATTTCATTTGAGGTGGATGAGTCTGGTGAAGTCCGTGGTTGTCCAGAAGCTTTGGCCGCCCTCATTAGTCAAGGAACCGGCCCAACTTTCAAGCTTCACCTATCACCTGAAGATGAGACCAAAGAGGAGAATATGGATGAACCCATGGAAATGGAATCCAAAGCTGAACCCTCTTCCAAGACGCTTGACAGTGTTGAGGAAAACTTGTTGGAAAAAGGATATCGGAACATACGTGCATTCTTGGTGGATCTCAGTGCAGCATTAAGGAATGAAGCTGGGACATGCTCTAATAATGAGGCTCAGGAGATGTGCTATAGGTTCACCAGGGAAGTCTTCTCCTGGTTTCAGCCTGAAATCCATCTCCTTGAACCCCAAGAAGACACTGGGAAGCCAGTAAAGACTCCAGTTGCTTCTTCTGACCATATCTATTCCTCTCACCCAGAGGCAGTGAAGGTAATTCCAGTGAAAGGAGTTCCCAATCACAAACTAGTGCAAACAAGGAGGTGCCTCTTGTGCATGCAGTCCGGCGATGATCTGAATGAACGTGCCGATCGACTCATCTCATGTGGAGGGACCATCTGGAGTCATGTCAACTGCCTCTTATGGTCCTCGGAAGCATGGGAAGATGCAGATGGATCACTGAAAGATGTCTCTGTCGTGCTAACAAGGGCCCTAGGGATCTGCTGTCAAGTCTGTGAGAAACGAGGTGCAACTATTGGGTGTCAAGTGGCTGACTGTGGAAAGTCCTTTCACTTTGGATGTGCCTTGAAAGCAAGGTGTGTCTTCACCCACTTGGGTCATTGCTATTGTGCCCCCCATGCAAATTTGGCACGTAACATCACCACCGACTTCCCTCTCATTCGCTCGGTCCATGTGGACATGGAGTCTCTCCAGTCAGCAGATCGCAAGGGACTGTACTACATGGCCAAAAAGTATGCTGTCCACCATGTCCCTTTTTGAATAATAAGCATCTTTCCTTGGAAATGAGTTGAGAATCACATTTAAATTTCCTTGCTGTCTGGGCCAGTGAATAGAGGTCATTGTACTTCTGATATAACTCACCAATGTTAGGAAGTTTACATGTCTGGTTTTATAGTTTTTCATTTTGCTAATTTTTTGTGTGTGAGCTAATTTTAAAAAATGAGCATCTTCATTAATTTCTTGAAGCTTTCTACTTGGATACAATGATTATTCCAGTTCAGAGATGGAATTTGATTATGAAAGTGTCCTGAAACAGTTTGTATCTTTTTCTCACACTGATTGGGACTCTGATTGTTGCATGAGGTGGCTTTTTTTTTGTGCCACACAGAACAAGAACAAATTGTCATTCCTATCATTGGTGGTCATAGGAAACAGATAAATAACTTTAATGGGTAAAAGTTTGTTTACAGCTTTGATCCAATGAAATTATGAGTAATGGAATAAAGATGGACTGAATTAATTGACAACACTGCTGAAGCCATCTTTTGCCGTCCATCCACATTATCTCCTCTATATCATACTGGCTTAGTCCCAATTTTTCTTTATTTTTGTCATCTTTATTTCCATTACATGCAAGGGAATCCCCATAAGAGGTCTTTTGCATTATTTACAGCTTGAAATGGTATCCATATTTTTCTTTCCTCCATCAGGGTTGCAGATAGACGGAATGTGCAGTTGATCATTGGTGCCATGAGAGTGACCAGTCTGGGATGGATCTGCTCTGCATCTGACACAGAGGCAGCTCTCATTCCAGCTGACTTCCACATGCAGCGTCTCTTCTGGAGTGTGGAAGACCCCAAGAAAAGAGTCATGTATGAGTTCTCTTCAAAGTTTGTACCCAGAGAGGAGGAGCTAAGCATGGCACCTGAATGGGACCAAAATTGGACCATTTCTCATTTGGAAATGAGTGAAGAAGCCATTGCAAAAGTCTGGAAGGAGATTGAGATCTATCAAGAGGAGGTGAATAACCTTTTTCAAATCTTGAATTATCATTTTAAACAACCTTCTAAAGTGATGCAACATATCTCATTCATACCATTCTTCTCTTTGCATTTAGATTGGAAGACAAGAAGAACTGCTGAAGAGATCTGAAGAGCAGCAAAAGCATGAAGAAGAGGAAGAATCAAGAAGAAACATTCAAGTCCCAAACTTGAAGGGCAAGTGGGGCAGATACACTCAGCTCTGGGCTCGAACGGAAAGACCACCCGAACAAGAAGTCATCCTGGAGTTGGAAGACCTCGACCCGACTGAAGCTGCTCGAGTTCTGCCAGACTACATCTGGGTAAATGCTGGTCTTGATCCCCAAGCAGTGAGGGAAATGCTCTTAAGGATCAGCCTCCCTCAAATCACCCAAATGGAGCAAGAAGAAAAAATTAAGGCAGATGGGAAGGACACCCCAAAGAAAGTCAGGCCCCGTCAAAGGAGCCTTTCCCCGCAGAGACACGTTTCGCCACCTCATGGCCGACGCTCACTCAGTGCAGACAGTGATCGACCAAAGAGCCCATCCTGTGATATCTCCTTAAGTTGTAAGAATTGCCGTGCTCAAGAAGGATTCACTGTGCGCCCCATCCATGCACTGCAGCCTATTCCACAGGTGGATGGATGTGCAGATTCTGACGGTAGTGAAGACGAGAGCTCATCTCTCAAGTGTCCTAAGTGTAAAAGTGTGTATCGAACCAATGAGAGTGCTCAGAAGCACATGGCTACATGTTCTTTTGAAGTGGATAGCTCTGACAGTGAAGCAGTTGAAGCAATGGAACATGAAAGTTCCCTGCCTCTTTCAGGAATGCCTGCCTCACATAATTCTGAAATGTCAGGCTCACAAAGTTCTGGAATGTCAGTCTTGGAGAATTCTTACCCCCCTATTCCTGAAAATTCACAAAGTACAAGGCCTCAAGAAAATAATGTTCCAGATCCACCACAGCTTCATTCAGATCCTCTGGCAGCCATTCCTATTGGGCACAGACCTACATTTGACTTGTGTGACCCTTTACCAGTTGAAGGCAAGAAAACAGGGATGTCAGATTCTCTTGCTGCACTGCAAAGGGTTGTGAATGAGAAGTTTCTTGAGAGTGAGGCTTCCATGCCTTCCCAAAGACTGTCACCAAGTTTGTCTGATCACAGGAAGATGCGCCATCGAAAGACATTGAGGATGGGAATGTGCAGCTCTTTTCCAACTCCATCCACATCTCATCAGTCTACAAATGGCTCTCTGACTGCTGATGCCATGCCTCAGCCACCCAAGCAAGTTGTTTATGCAAATGTAAATCAATGCGCAATGCAACAGGCATCCCCATTACCAACTGACGGGAGCCAGACAGGAGTTACCATGCCATACATGTATGGCATTCAAGCACCAATGGCTATGCTGAGTCATCCCATATCCATGGCCCAACCTCAACTTCAGACTCAGCTTATTCAGCTACCAGATGGCTCTGTGGTTCAGACTGTCTCTTACCCTCAACAACAGGCACAGGGCCAACTGACACATCAATATGTTCCTTCCCTGGGTGCATTCGTCCCACAGCATCTTGCAGCTGTTCCCCAGGTTTACCAAGTCGTACAAGGTCAAGATGGGCTCATGTATTACGTGGCCCAGTCCATTCAGCCAATCATGCCCCAAATGCCCATCATAACGCCTGGTGCCGCTCATGTTGTTTATCAGCCGAGTTATGTCCAGCAGAGTTTCCCAGTCGAGTACAGCATCCCGAGACCTGAGACAGTGCAACCGTCTACCCCTTCTCATCCACAGAAGATCTTGCCAAAGCCAACTCCAGTACCTGAAGTATCTGAATCTGGTAAATCAGAATCTAGACAACAGACCCAGGATATTTCTATGTTCCCCTTTGCCTCTGTGCCAGGTCCTTCCCAAGCTCCCATCCCTGTTCCTCCTAGTGTCCCTCTTTCTGCAACTGTTCCTGTTGCACCTCAGGCATCAGTTGCATCTGCTTGCACTTCACCACTGAGCAGTGTTGCAAGTGCACCCTCCCCAGGTAGTGGTGACACATCGGCAGAAGACTCTGGGATCATGTCCGATAGTCAGGCGAACGGAAGGGTGCAGAGTCCATGCCTGGACTCCGATCTCTTCCAACCTAGTCAGGAAAGTAATGCATTGGCCAGGAGTCAGGAGAGGACTCAAGAGAGTATGGACTCCTCTCTTCCCAACAACAGGCATCCAATCCAAGTGAAAAAGTCCATCAAACCTGTTGCAGTCACTCCCAAGCCAGATCAACCCTCTGCAGTGGTTCAACACCATCGTGTTACTGAGCTGAAAAAGGCAGAATCCTCTGGCAGCTCTTCACCTACAAAGCCTGAGACCACAAATGCAGTCACAACTCCTGCCCTGTTACTTAAAGCCAAACTTCATGAGAAGGAAGCTGAGGTAACTGTTTTCCCACCAAAAATCTCTGGCAAAGCAGCTAAGATCATGAATGGTAAGAAGCCAGCAGAAAGAACCACCAAGGCCCATATCGTTTTTGAAGTGAAGAGTCAAGATGGAGTAGTTTTCAAATCTAATAGGTGAGAGTCATGTTCTGAAACTTAAAAAAAAATTGCATTTATTTGTTGACTTTGAATTTTGTTTTTCATTTTTTTTTTACAGTCTGGAAGAAGCATGGCAGTGTCTCCTTTCTGCCGTCCAAGATGCTCGACAGGCTCAAGGACTGCCATCTTTCCCGTCTACTGCATTGTCGGGTCTTCAGCTCTCTGGTCTCTCCCATTCGTACCTGCAGTACCTCTTGGAACAATTACCGGGTGCTAACGAATGCACCAAGTACGTGTTCCGCTTCCACCAGCCCCCATCATTGGATCAAGAGACCATACCGAACGCAACCGGCTGTGCTCGGACCGAGGGATTCAAGCGGAATCCAGCTCAGGGTTCCAAAGACCCGTTCAGTTTCCTCGGATCTTCGCATCGTCCTCGACCAGTGCCCAGCGTGGAGACTACAGACACGGAAACCCTGAACCAGGGCTCGTGAGTGTCACACTTTTTCTCTGCATTTTCTATTGGTGTACTCGAATAGCTTTTCAGTTATTGTATGGTGGTGACAATTTTTGCAGAGTGAAAGGTGCCAAATCCACGGAGCTTCCCTTGGCCATGCGCTATCGACACATGAGGGAGAATCGTAAGAATGCGGTTGGTGTTCATAGATCTGAAATCCATGGCCAGGGACTGTTCTCCAAGAGGAGCATGGATGCGGGAGAGATGGTCATGGAGTATACGGGAGAGGTGGGGAATAATCACCTTCTTCGTTGCATTCCTTCCTGATTGTGAAATGCATGTATGAATGTGTGTGATGGATGTGGGTATTTTGAGTGAAATCTCTAAAAGGCTTTCTTGTCTATGCGCTATCGTAGGTGATTCGCTCAGCTGTAGCCGACATTCGAGAAAAGATCTACGAGAGCAAGGGGATGGGCTGCTACATGTTCCGCGTGGACGAGGACACCGTCATCGATGCCACCATGGCAGGCAGTTCTGCCAGGTTCATCAACCATTCCTGCGAGGTGAGTGCAAGAATTTGCCATCATCTTTTGCATCGTCTCGCGGTCGGACGTCGCTCACGACACCGTTTCCTCTCGCTTCGCAGCCCAACTGTTACTCTCGAGTGGTGGACATCCTGAGCGAGAAGCGGATCATCATCTTCGCGTCGCGGCCCATCAAGAAAGGCGAGGAGCTGACGTACGACTACAAGTTCCCCCTGGAGGAGGACAAGATCCCTTGCATGTGCAAGGGCAAGAGGTGTCGGAAGTATCTCAACTGAGGATTCCTCGTGCTTTTTTGTTTTATTTACACCAGACCTGTGTTGCGACGATTTCGAGTCAGGTCTTCGTTGTGCGTCCTGATCGAGAATGAATTTTCGGTAACTCCATCTACAGCGTTGGCACCATTCTATTATTGTCAGAATCAGACCGCAATGTCCAATAATATTTTTAGAATGAAGTCCCTTTTTCGGATGTCCTAGTGATTTGTCCTTTTCTGTTAGTAATCGAAGCGTAAGTTCATTTGAAAGTTGATTTTGTCTTTTTGCAGTTGGCGCCTCGATTTTTCCTATACTGTTTTATGAAGAGAAGGCACGATCGCACCAGCACCTTATAGTATTAGTAAATGCTTGAGTGTCAGATCTTTCCCTTAGTTTTTTAGCCGCTTCGGCATCGCCTATCGAAGCATCAAATGAATCGACCCGAAATCAAACGCGACCGAGGAAGCCGATAAAAATAATAAAAAATGGATCTCTTGTAAGCAGAGAATCGAACGGAGGAAATAACAGTTCTGCCACGGAGTTTTTCTTTATTCCCGCCAGCCTGTTCAGTACTTGCAGAATCGTTTACTTGAAAGACGGTTCAACGAAACTTATCTCGAAAGCTAATATTTTTCGTAAATTTGATAAATTTGCTAGGCGAACTTTCCATTTTCATTCTGATTCCAAAAAAGTTACTCCGACTTAGAGCCGCGTCACACTGACACGAGCCTAACGCCCTACTAGTTTCCACTTCATTTCAGGTTGGGTTTTTTCTTGTCTTTTCAGTTTCTAGGTCAAAAACGGTTCTTTTCTTTGCAAAACTTCTTCAGCCATGACGTCGCTAATCACGCGTAAAACGAACGCAAACGGACCTTCTTGCTCGCATAACGCGAAGCAAAAAGAAATTTTTTTTTTTCAAATCTAACATTTCTTCCACGAGCTTACCGAGTTAGATTGAGCTGATGTTAAAAATGGCCTGCATTTACTTGTTGAGGTACTTCATTACGAAGAGTACTTTATGAAACTTTCTGGTCCTTCCTTCGGAAGAGCACGTCCAATCTGGTCAAAGGACGAACATGACAATTTAAAACATCTCTAGAAATCGCCGCATAATCCAGTTGAGACCCCGAATTCTCATTATGCAGTCCAAAGAAAAAGCGAATTCTTGCTTTATTAAAAATTCCAAAATTGAATTTTCTTTTAATCATCGACGATTCGATGTTCTTTCTCCCCGTAATATGTTATTATATTATATTTCATAGCTTCTCACATACACTTCAAACTTATATATATTACTTTCGCAATGCACAATTTACTCCGAAAGAAATAATTTGGAACCGTGTCATCTTTTCATTTTTCCCTGTCTCTTATCTCCAGAACGAACGGAGGGAGCAAATGACCGTCGGACAAAGAATTCCGACCGTTCCGCTCGCCCATACGGAAAATAAAATAGCGGGAATCCGTAACGTGTAACTGCTTCCGAAGAATGACGAGAACGGGCCCTCGGCATTTTCGGCATTTTTTTTCATCCGAAAAGTCGAAAATTCCAATTTTCAAATGATGAAAAAATCACACACTTGACAAAGTGGCTGGGTTCGTTTTCGCTACTCTGCTGCTGCAATTATATGGCAGAATGTATATTTTCACGTGGTTAATTACATGGTCATTATATGGTCACTGTCATGTAATTATACATATATAATTGCACATATGGGATTGAAGGAAAAAAATTTCTAATAATTTGTCTGGGGCATGACATGGGACTGCGCTCTCAAAACCAGTGTTGCCTTTTAAATGCAAAGCATCGCTTCAAGTGAAATATTCTCCATTTCAAATGCTAGAAATTATACGAAAGCTTTGTTGGATGCACAGAACTGTTTTCTTAAAGGAAGGGTACGATTGGGTGACTTTTTGTCGAGTGTGAAAATGCAGAGGCCAGCAGCAAATGCATCTGGCAACACTGGTGAGGCTAACGACGAGCCTATCTGGCAACATTGGGCTTTCTCCTGCTGCTTTTGCTTCTCTTGAGGAATGAACTGAATTTGTTACGCATTTTCTCCACGGTGTTCGCAATTTGACGTTTTTCATTTCGAAATTTCTCAAGTATATTTTTTGTCAGAGTTTAAATTTCTTAAAATTTGAATTTCGGTTCGTGAAATCGACCTGTCACCCGCACACTGCAATTTATTTTTAGGGTTTAAAGGTTTTCCAGAGAATGCAATTCGAGTTTTCGGGCGCAGTTTTAAATAAACCAGCGGCAAGGAACAATCAAGGAGTGACTCGAGGCAAGCGAGAAAAAAAAAGGACTCACGGAGATGGATCGTCGACGTTTGACGGACGGGGAAGAGAAAAAGCAAATCCGCCCCGGAGGGACGAACGTGGCAGATTCCCTCCTCTTCCGCGGGAACCCGTAATTAAATCTCATTCTCGCCGGTAATTGACGTCATCAACGAGCCTTAAATCGGCCTCCTTTCTTCCGTTCCTAAACGAAGAAAGTCGAAAATAGTCTGTGGCTTCTGGAAGATTTCTTGCTTGGCAGACGAAGTTGAGGACAGGCGAATTGAAATTAGGCTGAGAGCTGCAGTGCTGCGAATAGGCCTGAGCACTGGAGTGAATTGTCATTTTGAAGTGATAATATTTGGATTTTGTAAATTGGTGAGAGAAAAAGTTGATAAAATTATGATATGAGAATGATGAAATTTTCATTCCAAGGGACAAACATTCGAAAGTAGGAAATCTAGCACTTCGTCTTCCTCGATCGAAAGTGGCAGCCGTGGGACCTAGCCATGACGTCACCACGAATATGCACGTTATGATTGGTCGCGGCGAAAGTTGGCGTGGGAAGCGACCAATGAGGCGTGCGGTGCCTCGTGAAACTGGACGAGCGTCTTAGGGATATAGGCCGCGGGGGGAGGAGGGAGAGCTCAGTGATCTCGGGACCTCCGGCCCGGTGAGAACGACGTCTCGCGCGCACAATACCCAGGCGCTCGTACCGTGCAGTTCCTTCGCTCTGCTCTTTTCGAGGCCCCCGCTCTCTTTATGTGCTTTTTTTTTCTTTCGTGGTTCTCGGTGAATGAGGCGGTGTCAGTGAACTGAAACGAACCCTTTTGAATCCTTTGCAAGGGTGCTCCGCATAATATACAGGTCGGTGAAGCCTCACTTTCTAAAGGCTCTCATTAATCAGCCCCGATGAGCCCTTGTTAATAACCCTTTCCACGCACCTCATTTTCTCGGACGCGATTTCCGATCGTGGTGCTTCCGCCGCGGCGAAAATGGAAAGTGCCGAATCACGTGCATTGTCTTTGATGCGACGAGACGAGAGGCTTTCGTTCGCCCCGAATATTCCCGCGGGAGGAACAGATGGTTAGGATCAGGTTTTCCGTCGGTTTTTTCTCTCTCTGCACCACAAAATAATGACATTTGAAAACGTTCTGGGAAACTCCTGGAGAAAGTCATTCCAAAGAACCGCGAGGTGAATTATTGTCTGAGCCTAATGAAACCAGAGACATGGCAAACACGGCGCGTCTTTTTCCCCCCTTCGCATCCAGCGTGCAGCTCATCCAGAGTGCAGCACATCCAGCGTGCAGCTCATCCAACGTGCAGCACATCCAATGTGACTCGACGTGAGTGCTTTCAAAATTGATCGGAGAGGCGGTGTGAGAGGGTCAGGACCTTTATAACGGTCTTTCCCCCACGCCCCTGTCATTGCTTCCGTTTCCAGCAAAGGCCCTCATCTACAATTACATCCTTGACTTCCCCGTCCCGCCGTATATCACCGCCCCGACCGTGCCCAAACGACAAAGAGAGAAAAAATCACTTCGCTGCCCCGCAGGGTCCCCGTCACCCCTGAGGTCAACCGTCATCGCACTGACGTCTCTGTCATGAGAAAAAAAAAAAAAAACAGACACACCCCCGAAAGGTTCACCCGTGTGGTCCTCGCACAACCCCATGTCGAAACCCACGAAACGACCCATTGTGACTCTCCTCGATGAAGTCACCCCCATCATCTCCTTCCGATGGCCGAGGGGCATTGCGCCTTTGTTTTTCCCATGATGAATGAACGATCGAGCCGGCGTGTGAGTTATGGATCGCGTTGTCAGCTTCCAGCCCTGCCACTCCTCCGAGTCCACGATTCCCTCCGGGTACCTTTGTGTACCGAGTTCTCGGTACTTAGTACTCCAGGGTGCCCGATTCGTCGATCTTTTCGCATGGCGGGGGACTTTTTTTTTTAAAGGGCCTGAGAGAGAGTTTCTCGTTTCCCAGGGAGCTTCTGCGTTCCGGAAGCCCTAATTGCCATTTCCTTTTCTCGACGGAAACAACCCCATACTTGATCTGGATTCTCCCGAGCAGTCTCGTTTTTCACAGGGATCCCCATTTCGCGGGGTTCCCCCCGATGTCATTTCTCTTCCCTGACCCCGATTCCTTTCCGCGTCGGTAGACCCGAATGTAACGCCTGGCTCCCGGAAGAGAGAGGGAGAAAAAAAAAAGAAAAAAGAAAAACGGAGGTCAGAGGTCTCCTTCCCCTCGTTTTTTAAACGGATATTGTTACGGCGAGAACATGCGTCCGACACTTCTGACACATAGACGCACGTCCCTTGCACATCTGGGTCGGTACACAAGTACATCGGGACATCGGTACTTATCGGATGTGCCGGCTTTCACGGTTTTTTTACCCCTAGATTTTTTTTTTTTATGATCCTATCGTAAAAAAGGCACGCGTCCTTTCTTTCCCCCCTCATGAATATTTGAGCATCGGGATTGAGATGCGAGGAGGTTGTAAGGGGGAAAAAAGGCCATTCGAATTCCCGATCGGAAGTCCATAAAGTAATGGAGCGAGAGAATCATGTGGACACGGGGAGGTCATAAAGTTCCGTCCGAAGTGGCCTTAAAAAACGAGGAAAAAAGAGAAACTTACATTGAATGGAGGGGGAGAAAAAAAAAAGGCCACTTCCGAAAATTGCAGCCATAAACAGCCGTAACAGTACTTTTTTTCTTCTTTTTTCCGTTCTTTATTGTGTCGATTAATTCTCTCGTTTTATTAGCGGGAGGGAACGCTTGTTTATCGGTGTTTACTAGACGGGAAAACAAAAAAAGAGGACAAAGGGAACCTTGAATGTGGGTTTAGTCCGTGCAGAAGGCCTCAGAGGGCCTCGGTCGTGTGGCCACCGTACCGGAAAGGAAAACTTGCCGAGTCACCCGCGCTTCCATTGGCCC